CTTTTTTTTTTTTTTTTAATTAAATGGGGTCTCACTTTATTGCCCAGGCTGGTCTCGAAATCCAGGGTTCAGGTGATCTGCCTGCCTCAGCCTCCTACAGTGCTGGGATTCAAGCCATGAGCCACCATACTCAGCCTCTTTTACCTTTTACTTGAAGTTCTTTCTCTCTTTGCACACGTTCCTTCTCCAGTTCCTTTACAGCAATTTCTCTTGTCTTCCGTTCAGACTCCTTTTCCCCTGACAGAATCTTCGTTTCCTTTTGGAGTCTGTTGATCCAGTAGATGCATACGGCGATGATTATCATCAGAAAAACCACAATGATAGGCAGGGCCACCACACAGGGAGACACGCTGGGCATAAAGGATTCTGAAAAGGCAGCCAGAAATGTCCACTTAGTTTGAAACAGAACATCTGGGGTAAGAGTGCCCTTAGGAGCACAGCTGAAGGGCTCCTCAGCCAACTGCTCTGTTGCTTTCTCCCTCAGAAAACTCAGATGGAGAAAGTGATGCTGGCTCAGACCTGGCTGACACCTCAGTGGCTTCCAGGGCCAAGGCCCAGAGGTAGCAAACCAGTCATCATGGGAAGGGCCAGGGTGAATAAAGCTAACCCGTCATGCTGAGTCAGCACAGCCACCATCCTGCCTCAAGCTACGATCACTCACGCCTGGAATACTACAGTGCCCTCCTTCTTATTCTGCCCTCACCTTCTACAGTCTATTCTCAACAGACCAGTCTAAGTGTAATCATGTTAATTCTTAGCTCAAAACCTTCCAATGCTTTCCATGTCACTCTCCCTAAAAACCAAAGACTGTTTGTGGCTTACGATGCCATGTAAAATGTGTTTTCATTGTCTCTGTGAATTCATCTCCTCTCACTTCCTGCACTCACTCCATTTCAGCCACACCAGCATCGCCTTCTAGGGGTCCTGGAAACTGCCAGGGATGTTCCTTTCCCAGGTCGTCTGCATTAGCTTTTCCTGTAGCTGGTTGCTCAGTCCTTAAGCATCTGATGATTCCTTACCATCAGACGGGATGGCTCAATTCCCATCTCTACAGTGAAGTCTTCCCTGACCATTCTGTTAAGAATTGCAATGTCTCACACTGCCTCTTTATTCCTTCCTTGCTTAATGTGTCCTATAGATGTTCATCACCATCTGATAGAATATATGATTAACTAATTATTTAATCACTTTTTGAGGGAAGAGTTCTTGATATAATTTGTTCAATTATTTACCTTTGGTTTCTAGAACAGTGTCTTGACATATGATATGCTTCTTGACCATTTGTTGAATGAATTACGAGTATGTGTCAATAGGGAATTTCCGCGGCTCTATCCCGTGGAAAATCCCCTGCGCAGGAAGGGATGGCTGCAGCATACAGGAACACCAAGTGTAGAGAGTCACTTATCCACACCACCCTCCATGTGTTATGGTTGTTTTCAATGTCTAAAAATTGCTGGCCGGGTATGGTGGCTCACGCCTGTAATCCCAGCACTTTGGGAGGCTGAGAAAGGTGGATCATTTGAGGTCAGAAGTTCGAGAGCAGCCTGGTCAACAAGGCGAAATCCCCATCTCTACTAAAAATACAAAAATTAGCTGGGTGTGGTGGCGTGTGCCTGTAGCCCTAGCCTTCAGGAGGCTGAGGTATGAGAATTGCTTGAACCTGGGAGGTGGAGGTTGTAGTGAGCCAAGATTGTGCCACTGCAGGCTAGCCTGTGTGACAGAGAGATAACTGATCTTAAAAAAAAAAAAAAATATTGCCGCAGCCTGAGGACCTTATCAGGGGGAAAAACAACAACAACAACAACAACAACAACAGCAACAACAACAAACCAGGTTCACTCTCAGAGAAGAGGCTCCTACTCTTGAGTTTTGGGACTCTTTGATTCTCCTTTTGTGAGAAGCGGAGAGGCCTCAGCTCAGCTGCAGACTCCTGGTCCTCAGGGCCCAGGACCATTCCACCCACACTGCTGCCCCATCCCCGCTCTGGGTTCCATCTGTGTGCTGAGGATCCCCATGCACCCAACGAGTCTCAGAGGGCAGAGAACTAACCTGGAATAAAAATGACACTTTCTTTCTTCTGACCGAGCAGGGTGTCACTGATAGAGCAGGACATGTTCCTCACCGACTTATCTCTGATGATCACAGCTGTGGTGACCATGAAAAGGCCGTCTGCGGC